CTTATCTAACTTTTTTTTATTACAAAATACATCCTTGCAATCTTCATGACTGTTTTCATATAAATATCTGATACAGAATTCCTTCATTTTGGCTGGCACATTTATTGATTAAAAAATGAACTAACAAACCAAAAAAAAAAAAAAATCCATCACCCTGGCTATTTGTATTCCTTTAAATAAATTCTGAGGACATTTTCGTACCAACTAAAAAAAACTGCAGGTGATACTTGGACTGGAAACTCATATTATATATATATATATATTTTTTTTTTTCCACATTAGATATGCTAGATATTGAAGAAGCTGATCATTAATTGTTTTTAAATATGATTTGTTACTCCGCAGAGGACACCAGCTGATATATTATTGGGTGTCTTTCCTGATAGAATAGTGATGCTCAGGCAAACATTTATTGCATATATATAGGAAGTTTAATGGTTTCCTCAATCTTAAATTTGGCATCACTAAGGTACATCCATGCATATACTAAGATGTATCCATGCATGCATTTGAAAAATCTCAGGAAAATAAGGGGCCAGACACTGGCTGTCACTTCCAGAAGAATTAAGGCAATGCAATCCAGACTGCCCTCTTTTCTGAGTAAAATGCAACAAAGGAACAGGCTATGGAACAGATTAACTTTTTGGATTATGCCAGACTGCTGCAGCAATTATCTTTCCCAGTGATTATGGTACTCTCCATCACCACATTATCAGACACAGGAAAGGCTATGAAGACCTTGGGAAAATTATATCTGGAATATACGTGCAGGTAACAGGAAAACTGATCTAGTACACAGACTATTTCCTAGCCAGTTCCAAAGATCCTTACCAAAAATGATCTCCATACATTTTTCTGTGAGAGCAAATATTGCCCACCAACCTTAAATTAGCATCTCTTGTGTCAGAATTCTGGTCATAACCACCACTTAGGATCACCACTTCCTTATTGTCTCTAATCCAGAATTAGATGTGTCATGTCTTTCCCTTTTGTTCACTCAGTTTTTCTCAGGCAGATTCTAACCATTGGCTTTAATATTCAAGAAATGGAAAATATTGTAATTTTCAACTCAGCTTCAGTAACACAGTTCAAAATTCAATTTTTCTTGCTCTGTGCTCTCTCATGGATTTTGTAAAGCCAACTAAAAGAGTGTTTGCTGTAAAATTTCCTGATACCTTGAGGAATTTTACTTGTTTAAACCTCCATTCTATGTTTCATCAATGGTAATTTGTTTCTTCTGCAACATTCTCATTTTATTAACATTTTTTTGCCTTTATCTGTTAATTCTGCTCTCTAGACTCTATTTTACTTTTCTTAAGATCAATGGCATTAAATGTGTAACATCCATTCTCTGCTGAAGAATTTATCAGTGTATCAACCTTCTACCTCCACCTGTCTTCTATTCAGCATTTCAAAACTAGAATTTGTTCCCTTCTATCTTGCTTGCCTCACAGACAGGAAACTAAAATGATAATTTTAGCTTATTATCATTATATCTACCTCAGTCTTCTGAATTTACAAGTATGTAAAGAAAGCCATGAGTATCTC